GTGTGTGTGTGTGTGTGTGTGTGTGTGTGTGTGTGTGTGAGTGACAGATGGGTTCTGACTGTGATTTTTAGATGTGACACTGAAGTCTTATTTTGTGCCAATCAGAGACTCCGGTTGTAACGAAGCTGCTCCGTATTGCACTCTATTGCGAGACTTATTTGTGGGTAATTGGATGAACTGCTCTCCGCGTCTACCCACCTCGATGAAGGATTCTGCTTTGTTTTGTCACTCTGAAGGTTTAAGGCATATGCATACCATCACTCAGCTTCTCTTCCCGGCAAGATTGAGTCACTGTTGCTTTCACTGATGGATGTGTTGGGAAAAAAAGTGAGGCTGGTTAGTTTCTCTTAAAATTTGGCTGCAGAGGTGTGACAGAGTGTTTTCTAAGTCATTTCTGCACTGTTTTTTTTTTTGTTTTTTTGTTTGTTTTTTTGAGAGCCCGACTAGATTTGTGAACTGTGTGTGCGTGTGCGTGTGTGTGTGCGTGTGCGTGTGCGTGTGTGTGTGTAACTCTGAAACACTCTGATCCCATTAGCTTATCAGAGGGTGGACAGAATACCCTGGAGCTTTATATGCATCAATCAGCAGACCAGATACTTGTGGATATAGTTCTAATGTTTGTTATATGTGTGTTAATAATAAAACATAATGTAATTTATTGAAATTATATGTAAACAAAACTGTTAGTACACATATCCGTGCTGAGTCATTTCACTTTTGATGTGGACTTAAAGAGGTAGAAATAGAATGCATAGACACGCACCACCATCTAAAACAGTGACACTATAAAAACGTCAGTCTATGCGTTCGATTTCTAAGCTTTCAAGCGGTCACATGAGCCTGATTCATAATGTTGTCTACTGTTAGCAGCTCTGTATTTTAGGTCCTCTGGCTATGTGTGTATGTATACAAGCTGACTGGTAGGCCTGTGTATTTTTCGGTATCGCTGTAGCATCGACTATACTTAATCTGAAACATGTATTTAACAAAATGATCACACATATATTGACACATAATTTTAGATGAATTAACAGAGCTTGATTGTAAGGAAGTGAGACCTCTGCCTTCAACTTACTGAAAACCTTAAGAGATGTTGTTTTGTTTTGTTTTGTTTTGTTTTGTTTTGTTTTTATCATCATAAATGTCGGCACAAAAACATTGTTGTTCCTCATTCTAACCTCCAAATCAATTTTTTTTAAATCTAATTTGTTATTTAGTACGTGACCCTTAATGTGAGAAAAAAATGGTGTGTATATTTTTTTGCTTAACTGTTAATTATTAACGACATCATGGCTGTCATTTTTCTATTATAAATAAAGCCAGACTTCAAAAGAAAGCAGTTAATTTCCCCGCACACATAGGAATTGGTGGTTGCACATTCTGCATAGTGTGAAAATGGCTTGACTTGCCTCTTTGGGAGTTCTATTTGAAATTATACTATAAAGTTTCTCAAACTTAATTAAACAGGGATTTAAGTTCCACATGAAAAAAAAAAAAATATATATATTTTGTAGGATCAGTTGTGCCCTGTTCTGAAGACAAAATGTGGTGTTGTTTCAATGTTGCTACTGTGGAGTACAGAGACATCTAGTGGTTCATCCACTGCTCTTCACCACCTAGTCATTGCTCGAACAGTACCCTCATCAGCCTGCCTGTTAAAGGATGTACAGAAGTAACACATGCATCTCTTGGTCTGTGAGACCATTTACTTACTAATTTATTGTCCACTTTATTGTTGAATGATGGGCTACTGTGTTATTTACTGTTCATGCCATTACCATGTATGATACTGTGGCCTTGCATTGCTCCAACATAGAAAAAAAAGTCTCTTAGTTTTGACATCATGGTAGTTGTAAATGTTTATAAATTGTACAGCACCTGTATAAATATTTGCCTTCATGCAGAAAAAAAATCCTCTGTAAATCGTTTCATTATTTTTTTAAGGGAACTGAGAGGAAATGATATAAAATGGGTGAAAAGAAATAATCTGGTCATGGCATTCTGTTCATGCACTGATAAATAAAGGTTTACTGAATAAACATGACTGTTATTTTATTTACTTGATTTGAGAAGCAAGGGTTATTGATAAAGTTTATCTTGCACTTATCTCCAGTCAATTATAGGCCTATTACAAGATTCATGAGTTCCTTCCAGCCTCATACAGTTTATATTGGTTTGCTGACAATATTACATGGCTGAACATTTTTGGTTTTAACAGTTTGTTTTTTGCCTTTGCCTAACATTTAGAAACGGTGAAGCACTGCCTCTCGTGGCCGTGATCAAACTGAACATGACGTCAGCGGAGCAGAAGTGAGTGCGTGCGGAGCCGCACGCATTCAGTACAGTAGAAACTCCAACTCCCGTGCAGCAGTGCAATATCAACAAACTACATGACCCACAGTTCTGTGCGTTACGCGTGCGCAACAGAGCCGAATTCTTTTGGAACAAACTACAAATGAACGGCAAGAGGACTACAATTTGTCGGGGACCTGCGCGGTAGGAGTCCCGAGTCCTTTAAATGTACTGTACGTGCAAAGATGGCAGCTGAAGTCGACCTGCTGCGTGCGAAAGTAGAAGAAGAAAAGGTGAGAGGCAGTCTGGATCGATTCATCAAAGAGAAGAAAAAGAAGAAGAAAAGGGAGCTGTCGCCGTCCGCTGACAAACGGGAGAGGTCTGAGAAAGAAGCGAAGAAAGTGAAGCTCCATCACCACCACCACAACCACAACCACCAACACGCTGAGCACCGGACCCACCAGCCGCATCAGCTGCAGCACAATCCTAAACCCCACAACTTCAGCGCGGATAAACATGTCCTGCACAGCCATCACCAAGGCCACCACCATCACCACAATCACGGTCTCACCAACGGTGCAAAGAAGAACCTGCAGTCGGCTTTGCCTCCCCCTCCTCCTCCGCCGCCGCGGAAGGTACCGGAGCAGCTGCAGAAGAAGCGAGCGGTGCCCTCCGAGCCACCTGCGCTCTTCACTTTCACGCCTCTCAAAGTGGTCAAGGCCAAGCCCCAGGATTTCAAAGAAAAGCACAGGGACAAAGACCTGAAACTGAAGCTCAAGAAGGAAAATACAGAGGCCAACGTGAAACACGGGGAACTGAAGAAAAAGAAGGGTGAGTTGTATAATTTTGTATATGTAAAAAAAAAAAATATATATATATATATATATTTTTTTAGATACTCCCAAAGTGTTGTTTAGGGACCCACAACAGTCTTTGGCAAGTTGCAAGAGGTTTGAAATTCATTCCTCTCACTAGGGTTTAGTACTGTAAGAGAATGTAAAATGTGTTTTGCTTACAGCAGATTTCCTCTGTTACTTTTACCTGTCATCTTACACCCTGTACAATAGTGACATTATAACTTCATACCTAAACAGTTAATATATGTTCCCAAAATATTATTAATTGGTGTTCTGCAGTTTAGTGTCAATCATTTTAGGGTGCATGACAATATGTAAGTTTGGAAAGCATACCATCATGAATCACCATTGCTAATTTAAAACATTATGCATCAGTTAGAATGTTCAGATGTAGTGTTCAGCAGGGTCTCAGAGCAAAACATAGTACGCCTTCCACTCTCAGCATGTGCCCTGAGTCTCTGACTTTTACTTATTCCTGTACTTGTAGAGCCAAGGCCTCACAATGAGAACATCAAGTCCCTGACACTTGAGGAATATCTCCTTAAGAAGAAAAAGAAGAAGAAGAAGCATCGCGAGGATGAGCACAGTGCCAAGAAGGTCCGATACATGCACAACAAAGCAGTTCAGACTGTATGTGCAGGGCTCGGAGCAGATCTTACTCTCCCCGTTCGCCCTGATCCGTCTCTGCCTGGCACAACGAAGCACGAAAGTCACCAGCCGAGCAGAGACACTGTAGACAACCACCAACCCTACCTCCACGCTCTCAAGCTGGGACACGTCCCCTTCCTCTCCCACCAAGATCACTACATCCGCAGCTCCTCACTCCAGACAGGCACCTGGTGCGGACGTCTCATGCATGAGGAAAGGCAAGCCAATGGTGGGGGGTCGGTCCTGCACGCTTATGCTGATGAGTTAGCTTGTCTCAGTCCGGCTGAGATGGAGTGCTTTGCCCAGGAGTTCCTGGAGCTGGCCTTTGCTGAGAAGCCTAGAGGCGCAGCCTCCTATGCCTTGGCAGTGGTTCACAGTGCGGCCGCCTACCTACCTGACTTCCTGGACTACTTTGCCTTCAACTTCCCCAACACACCAGTCAAAATGGAGATACTGGGCAAGAAAGATATTGAGACCACAACTATTGCCAACTTTCATTCTCAGGTACGTGAAATGGCAGGTGGTCCACTAGACTTTGGCACACCTCAACAAATCCTGCACATTTGTTGAAACCAAATTCATAGATCATAGTCCTTTGGTGTCTTAGATATCAGTTCAAGCACTTTTTTTTTTTTTTTATTAGGGGTACATTTATTATTTACTCAATAATTGTTTTGTCTATAAAATGTCAGAAAATAGTAAAATAAATAAATAAATAAATAAAAAATGTCCAAAACCCACAGATTTAATTTACCATCAATAAATTCTAATAAAATCAGTATATACACTCTTTAGAGGCTGGATTTTTGCTTAATGGCACAAAATTGTCAAAAAATAAACAGCAACAAATTAAACGGTTGTCAATCAACTAATTAATAAGTGGCCAAACATTTAAACTTTTTAACTCACTTTAAGTCTAAATCATAAACTATTGTAAAAATTCTAATAATTGTTCAATAAGTTTGAGTGCAGTGGCATAGAATAGCATGCATTCAAATAGCAATCATAGTGTATTAAACTTTATTGTGCCATCACTGCCCTTGTAGCCAGTTATAGTCAGACATGTTGTAATGTGAGAAGCAAGGTGGATGCATAATGGATTTTTTTTAGAAGAGGAAGTCTAAACTTAAGGAATATGGATTTTGGTTGAAGAAAACCAAAAACAATATGAATTAGTAAATTAAATTCTTGAATAATAGCAAAGTGCGCTGTTCATTTAGGACAGAAAATGACTGTAAGGTCCCATCTGTATATGCCCTGACTAGATTATAGAAAGGCACAGGAGGGCGAAGGCTCAGGCCAAGCCACAGTCATGAATGAGCTCTGGTACATGTTTAACTCCCAGTAGTTGATTCAGTCCAGAGTACAGTGTTGTTAAGTCTAAAAGCCGTGTTGGTGCCAAGTTGTTCAGAGAGAAATGTAATGGAGTCGCTTTTGTTCCATGACGACGGGGGGATTATAGCCTCTCTCACTGCCTGAGAAAGAGCGAGTCGGGACGTGTGTACAGTATATTAGATCTGCAGAGGACTCGGGGAGCTCAGCGCTCCTCTGTTTGTGCAGGGAAATTAGACCTAGTTTGATCATTTTCACCACTGGAGAGTGCAGAGAATAAATTGATGCCTAGCAAAAATGATTGCACCAAAAGGCTTTGTTTTATCTCCTGCACTTTTCTGGGTCAGGACTTAAAACTGCACAGGCCGTTAGATAGAAAACATATTCTCATTATGGCGGTGATCACATAAGAGGATGATAATGTTATGCAGATGAATGTAGCCTTAGATTCTTTTGCTGCAATGATTATAGTCTGGTATGTTTTCTATGCAGTTACCTACAATTTGGTAGCTGTGAGTTCATTTGAAGAAAAACTTAATATAATGGTCCAAAACACGCAGGCTGTGGGCTGTAGGCTGTATCCTACACTCACTCATAAGCATGTAAGGAATCCATCAGTGTGGCTGTGAATGGACTGTCCAAGTTTTTGAATATTGAGGTGAGAGGGATCCATTAGGCATGATGTGCTCCTGTAGCTTCTTCACAGCTATTAACCTGTGACATGAGAGCACACATTTTACCTTTAGGCTTAAAGGACTATGTCGAACAAAAGTAGTATTGTACATGACATGCTGCTTGCTTGGAGCAGTTAACTGTGTTTTGCTCAGTTGAGAGCAGTGATGTCAGTACCACTCAAGACAATCCAAATATAGTACTCGATATACAGCATATAATTAGTATGAAGTATGAAACCGGGTCCCACTGAATGACACAAGCTGTTACTTCTGTCTTAGGTGAACCGTACTTACTGTTCAGGAACGTACCGGGCCGGACCCATGAGGCAAATCAGCTTGGTGGGAGCTGTGGATGAGGAGGTTGGAGACTATTTCCCAGAGTTCCTGGACATGCTGGAGGAATCACCCTTTCTCAAGGTCAGAGGAAGATTTATTTCTATGATTTTTATCAATATTCAAAGGGGTGTACTGGGGATAAGGTTTGTACTCTAGTAAGCTCACATACACAATTTTGCGTTTTCAGGCCTGATCAGTCGTTGTGTACTGAACCATGCTGCTGCAATCACATTGGGAACAATTTGTTTCCTTTAAATATATATACATATATTTATTTCTGCAATGACTGCCACCTGATAGGAGCACTTAAACTCATTATGCATCCATAACCTGTCCACTGTGCATCATCTTCTAGGCCCCCAGCCAGATTCACACTTAATATGCTGAATACAGTATGTTGCTCTCAGGAAGCTCATTAAGAAGTACAAGGGCCGCGCTCCATGATAACTCCATTACTGATGCATTGTTATTGTTGTAGCGTCTGTTCAGTCTGTTGTACTTTTGATAATCATAATGTTAACATTAACTGAATCACACTCACAGAATATTAGCCCCATATCTATACGTGGCACGCCTCATCACATTGCCATCAACATCTGCAACTCATCTGCTTATGGTAATGGAAGAATTCGGCAGCCTCTCAGGTTAAGACTGCCTTTGTAGCCTTCAACAAAGCTGCCGAATCAGCTATTCTCTCTTCAGACGTCCAGATGTTCAAACAGTTCAAATATCTCGGTTTTGAAATATTCCCCACCTTCAACCAGACTGTGAAATATAATTAAACAAGCAGGTACAACTACGTATGTTCTCAAGGACATTAATAGATGGTCGAACCTACACATTTCTGCAAGCCCGTGCTTCAGAGTTAATTTTGCCAGTTCGGTGCTGTGAAGGAGGTTGTTCCACTTGTTTTCCTAAACCTCACTAACACTTCAAGAGTTCAGGCCATAACAACCTTCGCATTAGACATTAGACATTGTTTAGCTTCTATTATGACTGTTTGTGTCTAGATGGAGCCACTGCTATCATCCGTTGCTAGGGTACCCAGGGTCTTTATAGATAAGGGGCTACAAGGAAAAGGAAAAGATAAGCTAAGTAGGGGAAAGGACAAGACACATGTAATATTAAGTAGGTAAGAACACGTGACAATGCGGATTTTGGTGACCAATAGCATCTTTACACATTCCTGTTTATGATAAAGTTAAACCTTATATGGAGTAAGGTGCTGTAAAATGTTGCTACCATGTGATACCTGGGATTATTATTATTGTTATTATTATTATTATTATTATTATACCCATAATCAGACAAGACATCTTGAGAACTTGGTGTGGCACTACCATCATCTTCTCATCACCTTTCGTGGTGCGTCAGCTTTCAATAAATACCTCTGCCTGAGACATCTGAACTCTCGGCCATCGTGTTTTCAATCACAGTTGCTCCCTGTAGCCCCCCCCCCAAAAAAAAAAAAAAAAACATCATTGGTCGAAACTCCACTCAGAAATCTTAAATTTATCTGAAACAATAAACATCCCAGACTCAGATGCTCCACTGCTCGATGGAGGACCCTGGACGGGGCACTGGCAGTCTAAAATTTTAAAGTATACTTTTCGTCCTTCTCGTTTAGACCTTTTGATTAATTGGTTTAACTCAAAGGTCGCAGTGTCCTGGCGTGCTTTAGAGGAGAAGTTAGTCTCCCCATGGAGACTCCAGGATATCATTTACACCAACATTTCTGTCAAACAGTGTCAGCTGTGGTTCAGCTCCATTATTACACGTGTCATTCAGACTTGGCACAACGCCCAGAAATTATGCATCATTCAATGCCCAAGGCATTTCATCTCCCCAATATTCAACAATAACCAACTACTCATAGGATGGAAGCCTATTAGTTTTTCCCAGTGGGGGGCAAAAACGTGTTCACACCTCAGGAGATATTTACAATGACACTGATCTCCCGACTCATTCCAGGATCTGAAAGGCTGTTATGACCTCCCAGGCTCTTCTTCTTTCATTTACAACTCAGAGTTTATGGGTGCCATGGTATCAGCCATTAAAAAACAACACCCATTTTACAAACTCTTCAGTGATAGATGAACTTCCAGGGGCTTTGTCTCTACTTTATACACTTGCTTACCTTAGTCCTCTCATAAGGACTTTCCCATAGATAGATTTCATAGAAAAGATGTCCCAGAATTGAGACCTGATTTTGATTGGGGGTCAGATCAGGCTAATGTTATCCTGGTCTCTTGTAATCGCAATCACCAACAAATCCACCTGAACTATGCTCACAGAATTTACCGTTGTCCCAGTAGGCTGCACTTGATGGGTCTCCTGGCTGACTCCCGATGTACCCCGTGTTCCCTGGGGGCATTTCTCAATACATTCTGCGAATGCCCCTCTGTTGCTTGTTTTTGGAACGGGGTCTCCTCTCACTTGTCAGATATATTCTCCTTGCCAGTATCTGTAACTGCTTTACCCCTGAATGATTTATCTCAGCTGCTGGCAGAAAAGACTTATTATTGCTGGCCATACTGGGGCCAAGAAATTGGTTGCTATGAGGTGGAAACACCCTGGCAATCTCTCAGTGAGCAACTGGAATTTCATGTTTTTTTTTTTTTATGTGATTTACTTGGAGTTATCCACTGCAGATCGAGCCATCTTACCTGTTCATGTTCTGGTTCACAATCGATGGTCCTGGGGTGCCCTGGGGAGAGGGAGTGAAGCCCATGCCCATAGGTTTCAGCGGTGTGAATTAGCTTGGACAACTTGAAGCTAAAACTCACAGCTGTGTTTGTGAATGTCTCTGCATGTGTCACCACAGATGACCTTACCATGGGGAAGCCTCTCCAGTCTGAAGCTGGACTGTCGCTCTCAGAGTGATGATGGGCCCATCATGTGGGTGCGACCAGGAGAACAAATGGTACCCACTGCTGACATGCCCAAGTCTCCTTTCAAACGACGCAGGTACAACTCCATAGCTCCAAGGAAAATATATGAAATGAGATCTATATCAATAAGACTGACTAATAATTGTCATGGAAATATAGAAAAAATATTCTGAACAGTTGAGGCATGCTCGTGGGGAGGCAATTTATGACATTAAAAAAAATTTTGTTGTCCTTTCTCTATTCCCTGCCCCCTCATATCTTTTTGTCTAGGTCTATGAATGAGATAAAAAATCTGCACTACCTGCCGAGGGCCAGTGAACCCAGAGAGGTTCTGTTCGAGGACCGGACTAAGGCCCATGCTGACCATGTAGGTCAGAGTTTTGACTGGCAGAGCACTGCTGCTGTTGGGGTACTGAAGGCAGTGCAGTTTGGAGAATGGTGAGTAAATGATCATGGTATGATCATGGTATGTGAGGTAGGAGAGGTAACTCTGTAAGCTTTATGCTTTTTTTTTTTTTTTTTTGATATCTCTTACAGGAATAACCGGCCTCGGATAACCAAAGATGTAGTGTGTTTCCATGCTGGGGACTTCAATGAAGTTGTCCAGAGACTGCAGCTTGATCTGTATGAGCCCCCAGTGTCTCAGGTGAGAACTGGAATTTGAAATTAAATAGTATGTTTGCTAGGTTGCACCTTTTTATTCAATTATGATACTACTGGTAGCACATGCTGTAAAAATTTTAAACATGATCCCGCTGTGTATCTGTGCAGTGTGTCCAGTGGGTGGATGACGCCAAGCTCAACCAGCTGAGGAGGGAAGGCATCCGCTATGTCCGTGTCCAGCTCTGTGACGACGACATTTACTTCATCCCAAGAAACGTCATCCATCAGTTCAAGACAGTGTCTGCAGTCTGTAGCCTGGCCTGGCACATTCGTCTCAAACAGTACCATCCGGAGGAGAAGGTCAAGGAGGAGGAGCAGCAGCCCAATGATCTGAGCCCCACCACAGGCCGAGTCTCTTTTGCCTCCCCTGCCAGGCCTGATGCCACTGTAACCCCCTGTGCAAGACCACAGGGAGACAACATCCGAGGTGGGGTGGCCAAGACTGAAGAACCAGAGTTCCAAAGGCCAGCAACACCTCCCCAGGAGCCTCAGCCAGCCCCTCCACAGCCCACCAAATCTACTCACTTGCCCCCATTATACCAGGATCCCCACTTTTCCTTGCCACCAGTCCACTCTGGCTGTACATCTTCAAAAGAGCCTACATTATCAAAAGCTTTTGGCCACGCTGCAGAGTTTCCTAAATGATCTTTCTCCCCCTCAACAACCTTTCTCTCTGTCCACTATGGGAGAAGTGTATGTGAAGGAATTTTACACTAAAACTGACAGCTGACTGTCAATCAGGAAGCCTTTCAACTTAAATTATTCTTCACACTTTTTTAAATCTTTAAATGTTGGTTAAAATGTCCCCTGTGTTTGTTTTTTTTTCACCCAAAGTATACTGTTTAATCAGATATTTTTTATGTGGTCACACCTAACCTGGAACTCTCTACCGTCTCATTGCTCAGTTGTTGTAATTTTGGCAGAATTATTTCATTGAAGAACTGCACGATGCTGATATTATACTGCTCTATTAGTTTCACTGAGAGAGGCATGTAGACTAACCATACCCAGAAGATACTGTGGCGTTGTCAGTGGAGCCAGGCCTTTGGTACGTGAATCAAAAGCACAGCACATACTGGAATTCATGGATTGGCCACAGCCGGTAAAGTAAAATCAAAACAATAAGTCTTTTATTTTGAAAGAAATTGAGGGAGAGACATTTTGCTTTATTTTCAAACTAAGTGACATACAATTATCTAATTATGCTGCAAGCACTTTTTTCTCAGCTTTATAAGTTGCAGTTACCGCAATTCTTTATTTAAATGCCATTTTATACAGTGCCGTTTTTCTTACTGTTGATACTGTTTTTGATATTTTATTTATTTTCTTAAGATTAAACTTAACATATGAACACAGGTTTATAACCAGTGATGGAATATTTAAGATAATCTAATTATAGGAGCTCCTCTAAATGACAAAGGAATTACAGCTATTGATGTTAGTAATAATAGTCTGACTCTTTTCTTCAGGTGTGGAGTATGTCTTCAGAATTTGGTATGTAAATATTATTTTATGTTGTTATCACTGGGAATATGTGAATGCTGACGGTGCACTCATTCTTCATTTGATTAAAATCCATTCACACTTTTTGTTTTAACTGGTAATGTCACTATGAAGGCACTGTTGTGGAAGGCTACCGTGGTTGCATCCCATTTTCTGAGTGTAATTTTGTGGTATCAGATCAGTTGTTTTTCTTATAGGTCTAGAATTTTTTACAGAATGAGGCATCCTACAAATTCTGCCCTAAAATACTTTAAAGGAGCTATTTATAAGTTTTGCTATTGCTACATAGCTAGCGTTAGCATCAACAGTTGTTTACTTACAAGTCTTGCCAAGAGCCATTATTGCGTTTAAAAGACAAGAGGTTATAATATGTCCTCTGAGCAGCGCCACTTCTTCAGGCCAGCCTGGACGCCACGGTGACTCACTATCAGAAAGTGACAAGATGGTTCGGCTGGACTGGGGTTAGCATGCTAACTTCACTAGAAGAAAAGAAGTGATAGAAATAGAAGCGAAACAAGAGGATTCCTTTCCACCACTGGAGACAGCTGTTGGTGAGAAAAGGAATGAAGTTTGATGCTGAACTTGCAACATGTCATCTAGACTGTTAAGTAAACAGCTGTTAATGCTAATATTAGCTATGAAGCAATAGCCAAAACTTACAAATAGGCCCTTTAAAGTTGAATGAGGTCAACCGCGAACTGTAATTGAAATTTACAGTTCATCCGAACCTTCATTCTATAGTCTTCTTAAATTAGTGCTATTAAGGAAGAGATGATGTGATACTGCCTTTGCTCTACCACTGACCACGTTTTAGTGCCTTGTACTGTATAGGTTTAGCCTCATTTAAAACTGTGAGGTTCATTTGTTGGCGAGCAGGATGTGAACTGAGGCCTGGCCTAGCAGCCATAATGTATCTTGTTTTGTTTTTTGTTTGTTTTTTGTTTTTATAAAAAAATGTTGGTCATATGATGCTTTTTGATTTGAATTGTTGCATCATAGTGTTACTGAAAATTATGCCTTTCATACATATTAAATCCTAGTCAGGAAGCAGAGTGGTTATTTTTCATTCGTCAGTAATTTGGCTGTCATAGGTCTTGACTTCCTAAATCAATGTAGAAATAAATGGACAGATACAGTGATGTCACATGAGCCTTCTGTCATATTTGCTGTGATGCTCTGTGTTGTAGACCGATGATTCCTGTTGTTAATGTTTGTACTAAGACATTTTTAATAATTTTTCTCAGTTACCTGGGTGATAATTTACAGATAGTGCAAATCTGGTACCAATGTGATTGGTGAATGTGTCTTGTTAAGTAAGAAAAAAAAACCCAATGAGAATACATAGACTTTCTATATTTTTTAATAAATAATTCTGTGTGTAACCAGTTTATGTAACACAGTTTAAATGTACAGTTACATTAAATGCATATTTAATATGCATCACATCCACTCTACTGTACCTAACCATTTTTCACAGATTTATGCTTTTAAGTTTGTTTATAAAAGATAGATGACAGGAGTGTGAATTATGGCATAAATGCAAAACTAAATGACACGCATGATAATGAACTAGATTCAATGTTATACCCGTTTTCTTATTTCTTGCCATAAGCATAAACACACACACACACACACACACACACACACTCAACTAAATATATCTCTCTCAAAATTAACAGCATTGCCTTAAACAAGAAATGTAACATTTCTCACTGTGAAGTTTGTGGCTGTCCATGTTGTTCATCGCTGGTCAATAGTTAAAATCAACTTTAGTTCATATACAGTACAAAACGCATGAGAGCTGGCAACAAGGCACTTCCTGTTTGTTCTCTGCTGAGGGTGCTACTGTGCTGTGCAAGACAAAGAGAAGCAGCCTTTGGTGCTTTTCATTTATACTGTATGTGGTCTTCAAGGGGTACTTGAACACCCAAATTTCCAAGTCCTTCAGCTGTGCTAGTACAAGAACAGCTCCGCTTTTGATGTCTAGAGAGGAGTGGCTGCCTCAAATCCAGGTCTCTGGGTAGCTCCTCGGGCCTTTTGGCTTTCCAAAACGGTTCCCAAATCCTGTGGGTTGATGAAGATGAAGATGGCGTCACAAAAGTTGCATGAGTTGAAATAGACTGAATATGCAAATGTCAAAATTAAGTAGATGTGGACGTACCAAATTTGAACACTGAAAATGAGCCGCCATTTGTTGGAGGTGGGTTTCCAGGTTGATTAGGAGGAGGTGGAGGGGCAATTTTAGCTGATAATATAGTTTTTTAGACATGTTAGTCCAGTTTTTCTTCCAGACATCAGTGCATTTATTGAGCTAAATTTTAAATTAGCATTACTTACGTTTTTGTTTGTGTCTAAAAAACTTCAGACTCTGTATAAAGAAAACAAAAAGACAGATTTAGCTGGCTGCACTTTCACATTTTGCGTTGCTATTAACGAGTTGTGTTACCTTTGTTCTACACATTCCCCTCTCGTGGCTTTTGTCTGATTTGTTTCCTGATGTCTCGGCGTTCAGAGAGGGCCTGTGGTTCACATCGGGCTGTTCCACTTGTGCTGATGAACACAGAATCAGATAATTTGTTGCGTTTGAAATTTCCCTAATGTTTAGCCTTTTCTAACTTAAAGTGTTGTCACATCAAAACTTCATGCAAAAGAATAATTAGCTCTACTATCTAGTCATATTAGGCATCACCATGGCCTTAGATTTCTGATGTATGTGTCTGAACTTTTATATGGCAAGTATTCGTGCGTCTATTAATAACTGTAGGTGTGAGAGAGGCTACTGAGTAATGTGCAGCACCCTTATTGTCTGAGACAACTCACCACTTCCTGCTCCAGCCACGACCACAGGAGATGTAGCGATCTGCTGAACTGCAGTAAGGGGCTCTGTGGAAGAAACGCGATGATAAATTACTCCCAGTATAGACACAGTCATTTAGATTAATCAACAACAAACCTGGCATTTCACCAGTCAAACTTTTGCCCTTCGCCTTGGTAAAGGATGCCTCCCTGTGGTGTCAATAGGTACTTCTACAAATTCATTTTAATCTGGGTGCTGTTTTATATTCTCAACAAACAAAACAACGCCACCTTGCAAAATGTGTTAAACTTGGTACAGTCAACAAAAGTTGGTGGTTTGGTTTGTGACAGTAAGAGAAACACTGAATATTGCTAGCCTCCTCATTTATCAGTGAAAGCAGAAGTCTTCATGCAAAAAGAGCTTACCATGTCTTGAACCTTTAACTCGAACAGTCTGAGGGGGGACATTTGAAAGCAAAAATGTTAATGTCCTATCAAATAGAAATTTATATTGTTGATCACTCGATAGAACAGCAGTGAGGGGAGTACAAGAAAGCGAGTATGTGTTTCTGTTTTTCAGACCTATTTGAAAGCCATTACCTTGCTTCTGCTCATGACAACATCAAGGAATTTCTTGGGGTGACAGTTGCCATCCCACTCAGATGACATGCCTACCCTTGGTGAGGCCTGTGTTGTTTCTAAGGGCTGCGGGCTGAGGGCAGATTTCACATGAACTGTTGGAAAAGAGCAGAGTCAAATAAAATAGCACTTCACCAAAAGCTGCAGCAGAAGCTAAATCTTGTGTCTCCTGTTGCAAAGATGATGATACGCTTACTCTCTTCTGCTTTGAAGATGAAGGATTCTGGGGTTCTGTCAGGAAGGGGAGGAATCAGGCTGTCTTCAGCTGCACAATCAGATATAATCAAGTCAACAACTTTTCATTTCTTATTAAGAAACCATTATTTCACTTTTTCTTTTTCGCACGTGTATAGTTTCTCTGAACTTCCTTTTTGCTCTGAGGATGTTCCTCAAAGCAAAGGTTAGTCTGGTCAACTTACTGTGAGAAAGCAGCGGCGGGATCAGTGGGTCCAGAGGTGGAAGGGGAGGATAGAGGTTTGAAGTTGAGTTTGATGCAACATCAAAATGTGTTACTGGTGCTGGAAATATCACAAGAAAATACCATACCAATGAAATCATCACACACAAAGTAATGTTATAACAACTGGCAGATAATTTTGATATCTGTGAGTCTCTCTAAATTGGATAGAAGGCATATAACTTGGTAATGTCATAAATGTTCCAATGTTAAATTTAAATTCATCATCATGTAATTGCATACCATTATTCACACATGGCTTAATTATTAGGCAGTATATGCACATACAAGTCCTGATCATTGTGTCATTAAAATCTTACCTGTGAAGCTCATTTTTACTTTCAGACTCTACAAGAAAGAGAAGTATGTTGCTGTTACATAAATGCCATTCTATTTTCAGTGCTCTAGCAGTCTGACATTACAGTATTCAGTTTATTATTTAAACCTGCATGGAATGGAACTAAGCTGCCATTGAAGTTACTTTATTCTTACCTTACTCCTCACCCAAGGTTTCGTCTCATTCAGAGATGCAGTTGCAGCTGGCCTCGAGATACCAGACCATTCTGAAGACATTCCTATTCTGCTCAGGTTCACTGCTGGTGCGACCTCGAAGTTCTGCTCCACGGGAGCTGAATGGCAAGCAAGAATAATACTCTTCATTGTTACACAAGTAAGTAAAACATGCAAAGCCAAATGATTTCCTTTTTTCTTGTATAATCAATTTTTGATATTGTTTGGTCACCTTGATCATTATCCAACTGAAATGATTCTGGGGTTCTCTCTGGAAGTGGAGGGACAGGTGAAGGGGGGCAGTCTGGGAATATGGAAATAAGCATTAAGTATGAGTATTCCTGATATTTTTTTATGAGCATTTCAACATCAGGAGGTGGAGCAGGTCGTCCACTAATCGGAAGGTTGGATCGATTCCCAGCTCCTCTATGTCAAAGTGTCCTTGGGCAAAATATTGAACCCCAACTTGTCCCCAGTGTATCATTGGTGTGTGTGCATGTGTAGGAAAAAGCGGCATATGAATGTGTGTGTAAATGTGACTTTTAATGTAAAAACGAATGGACGATGAGACTGGAAAATTCCTATATGTTCCATTCAGTCTATTTACCGTCAAAGAGTTACTCTTGTTTTGAGAAAATAATTGTGGCCATTAAAGCGTTCTGAAAAATCATGTTACCATCAAACCCAAAGAAAAAGCATCAGTGAGTTTGCTATCACATGACATGACATGACACATCACGAGTTTCAGAGATTTTCTGACCTCTCAACTCCCTGACAGCCTCAGCAGCAGCGTTAGGTGGAATGATAAGTGATAACGTTTCACAGGGATCTGAGGGCTCTGAAAGACAAAATCGTAATATGTTGGAACAGTCAAGGATATATTAGCACATAATTAATCAAGATTAAATGGGATTAGAAACTAAGAAATTGGAATTTCATATAATAAACCTAAACCTAAACAGAGAGGAGAAAACCTTGCAGAAGCTGGTGGATTACATAGTAGATTTATACACTCAAACCACAAACCTCTGTCCAAAGCCATTTCATAGGATTCAGGGGTTCGTTCAGGCAGCGGAGGAGGTGCTTCTTCATCTGG